TTCCCCTTGCGATTCCTTCCTATCCCTGCTCGGTAGCCCCCCCCCCGGGTCCGGGCGGGCCCCCCCGCGACGACTAGAGCGTCCACGATGGCCCAAGATGGCTCCAAGAGGGCCTCAGAGAGCCCAAGATGGCCTCCAAGATGGCCAATTATACTTCGAGATGGCTTAAGATAGCCTCCGACACGCATCCAAGAGGCCCCAATACGGGGCCGGCGCGAACGTTCACGACCCCCCCCCCCCCCGCGGCCGCGGCCGGGGCTGAGGGGGGGAGGGGTCGTGATCATCCGCGCGTGGGAGCCGCCATTCGCGGGCCCTTTTCAACCTCTGAGGCCGCGCAGAGCGCCAAGATGCCCCAGGGGCCAATGCCCAAAGATGCCGCAGGGGCCCCTAGATGCCCATGAGGGCCCCGAAACAACACTATATCCCGAAAGCCACCGACTCACCTGGCAGTCGTTTCTGGATGGGCTGGTAAGGGGATGCGCGAACCGTCAAGAATGTCTTCCAGAGAGGGTCCAAAGGGGAGCGCTGCGCGCGGCGCCCCGCCCCCCCCCCCCCCCCTGGGCACCGAGCTAACGCGCGCGTGTTTCTACGGGCTGCCAGCTTGCAAAAGTGAATTCCCCTCTGAACGCATGCGTGCTAAATGTGGTGCGTCTTCTTTGCAAACCCGACGATCACCCTCGGAACCGCGTCGCCGCCCTCCTGGTCCAAGCGGCCGCCCTTTCGCTCGATGATCTTGCGCGCCGCCCTCAAGGCGCAGACCGCGTCCCATCGGGGGGTCGCAACTGAGCCGCGGGAGGCCGATGGAGGTGATGAGGGCGTGGGCGGACGTAGACAAGGAACGGCATCTGCTGTCATCAGCCTTAGTGGACGCGCCCACCTGGAATCTCTCGCGCATCGCCTCGAAATCAGCGAGACCAGCATCGGCGGAGTCAAAGGCGGGATCGGCATCGCATGGGTGTACCGTGTTAACCCCGTGTTGCACCGCTACCTTATCCATCTCCTGCACGGCCATCTTTTTGCAGGCGAGATCCAACGGGCCAGCGCCGCTGCCCTAGTCGACCTGGCGATGGCCAACTCCTGCAACTTATCGTTGGCCGTCTACAAACTGTCGCAGCCCGCGGCCATCGCCTGGTCGGGGGCCCTGTCGATGATGACCTTCGCCCGAGCCGAGGCCCTCTCGCAAGAGGGCCGCGCCGCGCCCGCGGTCGGACCACCAACTTCGACGCCCATGGCATCCAGCGTCGACTGCACGGCGGCGGCCCGTGAAGTCGCATCCGCCGGGCCGTCCAACGCTGCGCCCAGCGCGACAACATCCGTGCCGAAGGGCAATCGCATCGTGGAGTCTTCAGTAAATGGCCAGGTCAGAAAACTCCATGCCATGCACCTTCAACTTGTTGTC